ATATGGTATTTTTTATATGATAACTTATTTCATTTTGGTTATATGAGCCATTTTTCATTGTTGTTAAGTGCCATCAAGTCAGTTCTGACTCACAGCGATCCTGTTTAGGGTTTCCTAAGAAAGCACTTGGTGAGTTTGAACCGCTGACTTTGAGGTTCAGTGCTTATCCCACAGTGCCACACCAGGACTCCTTTCATCGATAATACCTTATTTTCCCCCATCCTATTTTTTTCCCTCCAAAGCAGTAAGTTTTTCATACAACAAGTAATATTTGGGCATCTAACATGTGCTTTAATTGATCATAATGTCTGTTCTTCACTTCATTCCATCTGTACAACTCGTACCGACTCCCTAGAGGCTGCTATGTATTTCAGGGGTTTTGATGAGTGGGGATGTTTCCGACAGCGGGAGATAGAAGGAAATTGTTTTTCTAGGAGGTTTGTGTGCAGGTAAAGAGTAACCAAGAGTCATTTCTGGAACTGGACAGAAAAGAAGGGAATTTTACTTGGAAAAGCGCACGTGGGTAGAGTCGGGAAGATGGGAGTTGGGGTAGGCTGGAAGCCAGGGCTCTTTCTAGACCCTAAGGGCCACCACCCCAGTAGGTGGTCGTCAATAGCCGGAAGACCATCCCTTCATGTCATCCCACGCCCCCGGCAACCCACCTCCGCAGCTCCCTAGCAGGAGTTCTCAAACTTTTCTTCCAGCTGGGAGAGGAAGGGTGTTTGTAATTTTAAAAAGGGAAGTCCCTCCCTCTTCCCGGATTCCGATTGGCCATAGTCGATCCCACCTCTCCCAGGGCCGCGGACGGATTGGCTGAGGGAGGGGAGCCCGGCTGAGGGAGGGGAGCCCCGCCGTAGGCCGGAGCCTACGGCCGCCGGGCCCCTAGGTGGCAGGTGGGGCCGGTACCGCCCGCGCCGCCGCCCCCTCCGCTCGCGCTCGCGGCCCGCAGACTTTAAGGTTCGCGCGCGGGCCAGGCGCGCTGCGCCCGCCCGAAGCGGGACTGCCAAGAGTTGGCCATGAAGAGCCTCAAGTCCCGCCTGAGGAGGCAGGACGCACCCAGTCCCGCGTCGTCCGCCACCGCCGCCGTCGCCGCAGCCACCCCGGCGGTGAGTCCCGCGGCCCCTGCGCGTCCCGCTTTCCCGGCGCTCCCCTCCCGCGAACCCCAGAGCTCCCGGTTCCCAAGCTCGCGCGCTGCCTCCCTTGTCTTGCCCCTCAGTACGTCCCGCGCCGTCGTCCGGTGTTCCTCCCTCAGGCTCGGCGTCAGTCCGGGGATTTTGGAGACCCTCCCCGCTGCACTCGGGCCTCCAGGGGGCCCTTCCCCGCCCCTCGCCCCTAAGTCTCCCGACTTCTGGAAGAAACCCTGCGGGTCCGCGCTTGAGCTTCGCCCTCCCCCTAAACCCGGAGTTTTTTGATTATCCCCTGGTGGTCCCGCAGCCCCTCCCGTCTCTAGGGTTTGCCAGTGCTCGCCACGTCTGTCTGTCTGTGTGTTCTGGTGGGAGGCCGCGGTGCGCGCCCCCGTCTCCGGGCCAGAGCTGAAGCCGCCTAGCTCGGGGCTTTCTTGCATCTGAGACGCCCGGGCTGGGGCGACGACGGTGTGTCTCCAAGTTAGGACTTTGATTTCTGAGCGAGGCACATGGAACCGGGAGGAGACTAGAGCCAACACGTGTGCTGGGGCTGGGGACGAGGACGGGGACATTGGGGAGTTGGCTGTCCCGTGCAGCCCTCTGTGTGTGCGGATCTGTTGGCTGGCCGGCCTCACAGTGCATGCTGACAAGTCAGGGCCTCGTAAATTGGCAGGAGAACTGAAATCTGGACACACAGCCTGCCTCCAGATGTTGGGACAGAGAGCATGGGGGAAATGAGAAGAATGGCAATGCCATCAAAATTCCTTATTATTAAAAATGCCATTTAAAGAGTCTTGAAAAGTCAGCAACGTTGTAAAAATGCAACCCTCAAGGTGCCCGCTTGCTCACTTGTCATTAACATGGACTTTTGCAAGTTGTACACAGATATCCCTTAATGATGATGTGCTTTTTATGAGAATCCTAGTTTTGCTTTAGAGTTGAACCTTTCTTTCCACTTGACTGTTTCTAGGATGGTTTTACTTAGACATAAAGGCAATTGTGGGGGAACTAGGCGTTTTCATTCCCAATTCAAAATAGAGAATAGATTCAGAAGGTATGCTCTTTGAAGTTGTTTAATAAAATCAGTTTTACAAGCTCATAGAAAAAGAGAGATTCCTTTGTTATGCATTATTTTAAACAATTTTAATAAAACAATGATTGGCAAAAATGGCAGTGGTATTTTCAGTTACATATTTCACCTTTCTAATACAAAGAGAGCTTTCAGCTTTATTAGCTATTGGTGGTTAATGGTGGTGGTTATGTGCCGGGGAGTCCGTTCAAAATCATAGCGACCCTGCATAGGGTTTCAGAGGCTGTAAGTCTTCACTGCATCAGAAAGCCTCATCTTTCAAATGGGGCTTCAAAAAATTTAAGGAAAAATGGCATTATTTTTTAATTCCAGTTTTTCATGAACGTGTTGAAGCCTCCTTGTATGACGTATGTCTATTAGCTGTATTTTTTTTGTTTGGTGTGCAGTAATTTACAGTGACATATGGAGGATTATAGACCATAACTGCATTACCTCTTAGAAATATGAAGTCTTTCATGGTTCTCGGTATTAGTATGTCAGTTTGCATTTTATACACTTGGAACATGATGTGCATCTCTCTGAGCTTAAATCTTTAGCACTCATTAAACTTACCATCATCTTATTTTTCTTAAAATGAAGGCTCAAAAACAAAAAAGAAAACATGCTATTTAAATAACTTGTCTGCTTAGAAAAAGTGACCCTCTCACTTTTATGTTAAATTAAGCATTGGAGTAAATTTTGTAAATTAAAAAAAAAATGAAATTAAATGAGTATGGTAGATAGACCAAACTTAAGTATTGACATAATAAAATGAATGTGCTGAGAAATAGATTCCTTCTGCTTTTCAATCTCTAAATATAAAGTCTCTGATGCCAGATTTGGTGGTATATGTATTAATATGATTGGATTTCTTAAAAATAATTATTTTTGCCTTTGAAGGGCTTGAAAACTGTATTTACTTTTGGATAGATAACATAGCACATGGCTTACAATTGGAAAAGGACACACATATAGCAAAACGTCCCTGTCCCACAGCTGCTCTGCACTCTGCCTTCCAGGCTGTCAGTGTTATTAGTTACATTTGTGCCCCGCTAGCAATGGTTAATGCGCCAGACTGCAAAGCTGTGTGAACTGCAAGGTCGGTGGTTCAAGCTCACCAGCTGCTCCTTGGAAACCCTATACAGGGTCGCTATGGGTCGGAACCGACTCGATGGCACTTAACAACAACAACAAGCAATGGTTAATACGTACAGGCAAATATGAGTATAGATCTGCACCCTTTCTTTACAAATGGTAGTATACTATACTCCTAGTTTTGTATATTGCATTAAAAAAAAGTGGATCCAGAGCTCTTTGCTATTGTATACCATGGTATGATAAATAAACTTGTATATATTTTAAGTGTGTGTATGTGTGTGTACCTAAAGTTTTGGTTCCTAAGTATAGAATTGCTGGGTTAAAGACTATGCTCATTTGTAACTTTAAAGAATGTTGTAAAATTTCTTTCCATATGTTTTGTGGCAAGGTATGAGAAATCATTTTGTCCACGCTTCTATTAATAACTTGGAGTCCTAGTGTGCATAAGCACTGAACTGCTAACCACAAGGTCAGAGGTTCAAACCTACTGGTTATTATGAGTCAAAACCCACATGATGGCATTCAATAACAACATTAATAAATTACTCATATTTTTAATGTTTGCGACCCTGATAGGTAAAATATGGTATCCCAAGATAGTTGAAAAATTTCTCTCTTTTTATGAAGAGTGAAGTTAAGCAGCTTTTAATATCTTTAAGAGCTATTTGCATGTACCCTCACGCCCATTTCCTATCAGTTTGTTGATGTTTAACTTATCAATTTGCATGTCCTTTTTATAAGGGAAATTAGTCCTTTTAGTGTGAATAATATTATATTTTTTCAGTTGGTAATTTGTCTTATAACTGCCAGACAGAAGGTGGTTATTTTTTATATAATTGAATTTCACAGCCTTTTATTTTATGATTTTTTTGCTCTGCAATATTGTACAACAACAACAGAAAATCTCCCTAATTTTTTCAAGTTTCTCAAAAAATAATTTTCCATTTAAGTCATTGATTCATTTGGAATTTATTCTTAGAAACTATTAATATATCAATAATATATTAATATAGAATATATACAGTATATTAATAGATCTTGGTTTCTTTTTTATTCTCCCTCTTCTCATGTCTGCCTAATATGAATCTTAAAACACTCATTTAATTATCATTGAAATTATCACAATTTGCTCTGTACCGTTTGAATTTGAAAGAAATAAAAAAATTGTATTTTATAGCTATTTTTCTTTACGTCTTTATTTAAGCTTATTTATATGAAGGAGATATATTGGCAGTATCAGGAACTCTGGTAGCATAGTGGTTACAAATCGGGCTGTGAACCTCAAGGTCAGCAGTTTGAAACTACCAGCTGTTCCCCGGGAGAATGATGAGGCTTTCTGCTCTGGTAAAGATTTACAGCCTCAGAAACTCTATAAAGGGTTGCTATGAGTCAGAACCGACTCCACAGCATATAACTAACCAACCAATACTGAAGTATATAACTATATTTTATGGTATTATAGTATGTGAATTATATGCCTTATGATAATGATGATTCAGGTTTTACATAGAAAAGTAATTTAAAGCGATTCTGAATAGTACTATGGTTATAAATATGCTAGTGATCTTAGAATTCTCTAAATAGAGGTTATATCTATACACATGTAAGTAAGTGTTCTTCCCAACTAGGTGGCTGAGTGGTACAAATGGTTAAGCACTATACTACTAGCCAGAAGGTTAATGGTTCAAACCCACCTAGAGACACTTTAGAAGACAAGCCTGGTCATCTGCTCCTGAAAGGTCCCAGCCTTGAAAGCCCTGTGAAGCAGTTCTGCTCCCCACACATGGGGTCGCCATGAGTTAGAGTTGACTTGATAATAACCAGTGAGTTCACAATGATAAATTGTGGCTAAAAGACATTGGAGTCTACGCTTTGCTCACCAGTTCCGGAGATAGGTGCACTCTAATGAAATCATAAGCTCAAACTCTTTTTGCTGTTATATTTTCTCTCTTTTTTTTAAAAAAATAATCTTTCACCATATACAATTATAACAAAAAGATTGACATTTTAACCATTTTTAAATGTACAGTTCAGTGGCATTAATTGCTTTAAATATATTGTGCTACCAGTTGCTTTTATTTTTAATACCTATAGCTCCAGGTTTCTGCTGAGAGCGGTGATTAAGTGACTGTAAATAGTATTTCAGACCTAGTCAATGATACGTATTGTCAAGTATATGTACAATTATATGCATTGTGAGAGGAGTATTGTTTTGTTGCCTAATTCAGAATAGGAAGTTTGCATAATGGGAATTATTACTGCTGTTAAGTGCTGTTGATTTGGTTCTGACTCATAGCAACCCTGTGTAGGATTTCCAAGGAGCAGCTGGTGAGTTTGAACTGCCGACCTTGCAGTTCAAGCCGATGTTGAGGTCCAGTACTTATCCTGTAGTGCCACACTTGGACTCCTTTGTTATTGTTAGGTACCATCAAGTCAGTTCCTACTCGTTGTTGTTGTTAAGTGCCGTGTTGTCGGTTCCAACTCATAGCGATCTTGTATAGAGTTTCCTGCAAGGTCAGTGGTTCAAGCCGGTGAGCTTGAACCGCTGCTTCATGAGTGTTGATGGTTGATCTGAGCAAAATGAAGTCTTTTACAACTTCAATCTTTTCTCCATTGGTCTTGATATTATTTATTGGTCTAGTGGCGAGGGTTTTTGTTTTCTTTACATTGAGGTTTAAAATCAGGTAAGGTGTGCCCCAGGGTTGTAGTCTTTTACCATATTCATTCAATTTGTTTGCTTCCATGGATCTAATAAAATGTAATCCTTGACAATTTGTGTATTTTCTCTGTTTAT